AGAACAACCACTTGGCCAACTGACTGGAAGAGATCTATATTTGTTCCCATCCCAAAGAAGGGTGACCCAACAGAGTGTAGAAACTATAGAACAATATCGTTGATTTCACATGCAAGTAAGATTCTACTGAAGATTATCCAAAAATGACTGGAACACCATCATTTACTTAGACCAATTATATTCTTTGGCTTATGAAACCACTCTTGCCCTTTTTTTGTTCCTCCCATATTAGCAAATTCATTGACTTTCAATCAGTGTTTCTAATTGGTCATGTCTGAGTATATGGACCATGTACAGCATCCAAATCTGTGTGTGTGATTTTGGCACAAGTAGGAAAGGCAATGGTGCTCTGCTTGAAGATGGTGGCGGACAGAGACACTTTTGAACCAGTTCTTATCTAAAACCATACATTGTTGTCCATTAGTCACTTTGTGACCAGAAAAGGAGTCTGTAAAGATTTACTGTATTGGAAACCCTAAGGGGATATTCTGCTTGACACTACATTTGTTGCTCTAAAGTGCTGTCGTGTATAACTTATAGTGACCCTATGAACAATGAATCTGAATCCTAGCCTGTGCTGTCTTCACCATATCTGAATATACTTGAGCCCATTATTACTGCTTCTGAGTCCATCATCTTACTGAGGGTCTTCCCCTCCTTCACTGACATTCCACCGTCTCAACATGATGTCTTTTCCCAGGTCTGGCCTCTCTAACAACATGCCCAAAGTATATGGGATGAAATTTCACTATCCCTGCCTTCAAGGAGCATTCTGGCTGCACCTTTTCCAAGATCTATTTTTTTCTTCTTTTGGCAGTCCACTTTTCTTCAACACCACAATTCAAAAACATCAATTCTTCTGTCATTCTTTATTCACTGTCCAACTTTCAGCTGCATAGCAAGTAGCTGAAAAGATTATGATTTGGATTAGGTGCACCTTAGTCTTCAAACGAATATCATTACTCTTCAGCACTTTAGAGAAGTCTCCAAAGCAGACTTTATTTCCTATCTGCTGCCACTAAGGGTGAGGACTGGGGATCTAAGTAAGAAAATTTTTATCTCTTCTCCATCTGTCATGCTGTTGCCTTTTGGCTCAATGGTGGGAATTTTTGTTTTCTTGATATTGAGATGTAACCTATATCAAAGACGATAATCTTTGATCCTCTGTGGCATTATTTCAAATTCCCACTTTTAGCAAGCAAGATTGTGTCTTCTGTACATTGAGAAGTCAAAAGGGAAAAGCGCCTAAAAAAAGAGAAATGAACAGAGTATTTCAAAGGGCAGAATGAGAAGGAATTTGCAAAAACCTAGAGATGGAAAACAAAAAGGGAAGAATTCGTTCAGCATTTCTCAAATGGAAAAACAAACTGAAACCTCAAGTTGCAATGCTGAAGGATGTCAATGGCAAAATCTTGAATGATCCAGGAAGCATTAAAAGAACATGGGAAGAATACTTTAAGTCACTGTACCAAAAAGAATGGGCAAACAGAGAACCATTTTAAGAAGTGTATGATCAAGAACCAATGGTGATGAGGGAGCTCTAGTGGCCTAGTGGCAAGAAGTAGCACTGCAATCCCGAAGGCAGGAGGTTTGAATAAACCAGATACTCTGTTGGAGAGGGAGGGGCAATCTCCTCCTGTGCCAATCAGATCTGGTTTGACAGTAAAAAACAAGGAAAAGAAAACAAAAACCAATGACGATAAAAGAAGAAATTTAAGCATCACTGAAGGCACGGGCAAAAAATAGGATCCCATGAATCAATTGACATGTTTCAACAAACAGATGCAGCTCTATACATGCTTATCAAGCTATGTCAGGAAACTTGGAGGACAGCTTCCTGACCAACTGAACCAAAGAGATACATATTTGTTCCCATTCTCAAAAAAGATAATCCAACAGAATATGAAAAATACTGAATAGTATCATTAATGCAAGTAAAATCTTGACGATTATTAAAAAAAAAACCAAACAGGTAGTGTAACATATCAACAGAGGACGGCCAGAAATTCAAGCTGGATTTAAAAGAAGCTGTGGCACGAGTGCTATCTCTGCTGACACCAGATGGCTCTCGGTTGAAAGCAGACAATACTAAAAGGAAGCCAACTTGTGCTTTACTGACTATGCAAAGGCTTTTGACTGTGCATCATTCCAAATTCTGACTAACATTGAGAACAGAAATTCCAGAAAACTTGATTTGCTCATGTGAAAACTAAAAATATAGACCAAGAAGCTGTACAAACAGAGCAAGGGAACACTGCACGGTTTAAAATCAGTAAAGGTGTGTGTCAGGGCTGTCTCTTTTCTACATATCCATTTAGGCTATATGCGGAACAAATCAAGAAGCTGGACTACATGAAGAAGAATGTGTGTGGCATCAGGGCTGAAGGAAGACTCATTAACAACCTGCATTATGCATATGACACACCTACGGTATGCAGCTGTGATGAATCAGAATCAACTTGATGGCAGTGGGCTTGGTTTGACTGTCAATTTGATTTCAAAGAGAGAGTTCTTAAGAATGTTTCAAGCTCATTGCAAACTTAAAAAAAAAAATCAGATGAGCTAAACTGTTTAGTTAGAGAGGACATTTCTGGTTTCAGGTTTAAAGATTACCATAAAACAATAGTTTCAGGGATGTATACAACCTTCATAGTTCTAAGAACCATGAGTTGATGAGAATTTGAAATTCTGTATTTCTCTTTTTTGCTCAATATTCTTCTATAACTTCTAAACATTTCTTCTGGTTTCATGGAGGAGGCAGTTGCTCATAGAGGCAAGCAGCCACACATTCCACATTCTTCTTCCTTTGCTGGTCCAGGTAAATAATGACCAAGTCTTTCCCCCCCAAACTATCTGCTTTATTTAATGAAGAGCACTCAATTAATGACCAAGTCAAGCTTTTAAAACTCCACACACTATATAATGAAGTAGGATGTAGAAGAGAAGCACTAAACATGGTAAGAGACAATTAACCAAGTAAACATACCTTAAACCTCAAAACCAAGAAATCAAATCTCTTGACGTTTCTGGTTATACATAAGCAACCTTCATAGTTACTTCTTTTTCATCATTGGAAATATATTTACCACCCAAATTTTGCCAACTCAATTTTTTATGAGTGTGCAACTTACTGCCAGCAATCATTAACACATTGCCTCAAATTACGGCAAAATGTGTTTCTAAGCATGGTCGTCAATTTAAAAGTGCGGCGTGTTAATAACTGCCATACAGTGCTAGGCTTACTAAATGCAGTACTTCCATCAGTTACCTCTCTACTCCATCTCCCGATTGCCCTTGAGTACCACCGATAAAAATTTTCTCCTCTAGACATTTGTCTTAAAAGTGAGTTTATGCAATATTTGTCTTTCGTGGTTTCCTTATTTCACTCAGCATGTCTTCCAGCTCTGACCATAGTGTAGCATGTTCCATGACTTCATTTCCACTATCGGCTAAGTAGTATTCCATCATATGCATGGATCACACCTTGTCTGTCCATTTCTCTCTGAAGGGGCACTCACTCTGTTTCAGCTTTTGGTTATTGTGCAATTTGGTTATCCTGCAATGACCACTGGTGTATAAGCCTGTATGTACGCTTTCAAGTCTTTTGAGGCATATTTCTTGGAGTGGAATTGCTCGTACATAGAGTAGTTCAGTGCTCAGTATTTTGAGTAATGGACACATAGTTTTTCACAACAATGAAATTATTTTGCATTCTATTTGTAATAGACAAAATATTCCAATTGCACCACATCCTCGTCAATATTTGTTATTTTCTGTTTTTAAAAAAACAACTATGAGCCATCTTTACTGGTGCTTTGTCTAACCTATGATTACATTCAGCCCATGTGGATATCCTAAAATACTTTCCCTATCTCAAAATCCTTATTACCTTTATCACAATATAACCTTTTGCCAAATAAGATAATATTCATAAGTTCCAAAGATCAGCATATGGACATTAGGGTTGGGAAGGAAGGATAATTTGGTCAACATTTGGCAATAGGAACAGATTCATTAAGAGTAAAACACTAAGTGTTGACATTTTCATTCAACATAAGCAATACAGGAATGAATGTTAGCTGTAAGTATTAACATGATGAGTCTCAGAAACTGGGTGAAAAAATTAAGTCTTTAAAAAACCTCAACAGTTCTATATGGATGCGTTCATAATATGGTGGTTGTTAATTAAACAATTTTTTCTCCCTCACTAATCTGCAATATTGCCTCTCCTACATATCAGCCTGTACCATGTATATGCTTTTCCTGTCTACACTTTACCATCTAGCAAGATAAGAATTTGAATATCAATACGAGAATGTGTTTGTTATGGAAATATAGATAAAACAAACTGTAAAAATTATTTTTGTGTCCCTCAGAGAGGTAGTGTGTCCATAGGAGGAGTAAAGAAACTTCTTTTTTTTTTTGGTAAGGGTCAAACAACTATCTTAGGCTTCAAGGGCCAGATGGTCTTTGTTGTTGGTACTCAGCTTCTTTGCTATACATGAAGACATCCACAGAAAGGACAGAAATGAGGGTGTGGCTTTGTTCCAATAGAACTTACAAAAGAAGGTAGGCAGAGTGAATTCTGCCTGTAGGCTATAATGTGATGACCTTTGGTCTAGAACTTCAAATCAGATATAGGGTCCTTTATGGAGCCCCATCAGACATTGCTTAAAGAACCACTTTCTCCTACAAGAGAAAAGATACAACTAGAACTGAACAAATCTGTTTTCTTTAATCCCAACGTTATCACTCATTATGTCCCTTGTGACATAAACTATGATTCATTTGTTTTCTGAGTTATCTTCCATACTTTCTTAAGAAAAGTACTATATTGAATAAATTAATAAATTATTGTACTAGATTTATAATAAATAGTAAATTCTGCATAGTGCAAAATGAGTATTTAAGTAAATTCTGGAATTAGTCTTGTCTTTTTGAATGAACTGTAAAAAAAAATAACTATTTTCAAATGTAAGACTTTAAGTTTACTTTACACTTTAGCAGCTGTGTAACACTCATCCGTCTTGATAAGTAACTTCCATATTAATGCTGAGGACAGATTAGTAGTTATAGGCAGCAGAAAGTTAGAAGTGATAAGGGTATTTTAAATTATTGACTATAACTCTTTCATTTTGCTGATAAGGAAATGAAAGGACCAAAAGTAGTAAACTGGTATACACAAGTGAACTTTTTCATCCCAAGACATCTGTTACACATTATGAAGTAACTTTCCCCCCTTATACCTTTAGAATGATACTATTTGAATTAGGTAGAACTGGGTAGTATTCTGTAATGCTTATTAAGCAAAGAGACTCACCAGTGAGATAACAAGGGCTCAAGGTCTTTCAGATAAGATCATGAGATGCAGGGTGTAATATGCTCAGGATACTTGAAGTAAATGAAAGTCTATCAATGTGATGTAATGAATTTACTTTTCTTAGACCACTTCCAATGAGAAATATAGTACCCAATAAATTATCCAGAGGTTTTAAAGTTTGGCAATTTATCTGAGCTTTTATGGTTCTGTATAGCAAGGTGGAGTAATAGTTTTGTTATTAAACTATGCTCTGTGCAGAATAAGGCTAAGGTAAATGTGCTGTTTCAAGAATTCTTTATTCTGTGCAACAATTAATGAATGAAAACCCAAAATCTCTGTAAATGTTCATTAAAACTGATAAAATTTAATAATAATTTAAAAAAAGTATTCTTTATTCTATTTATATGAATTTGCAGAAATGAAATACATTTATCATAAAATATGCGGTCATCTTAATCTTAATGGAATTTTAAATGGACAAATATATTTTGAGTATGTATACTGTTGATATAAAAGAAATAATATTGTATGCTTTATTTGTAAAACAGGTTACTTAGTGTCCCAGGTCCTCTCACTAGATAGGATTCTTCTGATAAATTTTTACCAGACATAGATGTGTTCCGTTAAAAAAACCCCCCAAACCAAAAAACATCTAATTTCTATTGAAAGAAAACAGAAATGTGTTAAAAATTTAAAGAAAGCTTTTTTAAAATGTAGGAAAGACCTTCACAAACTTACCTCTACAGAGCCCACGTGCATAGCAACCATTTCTAAAAGACGTTGTAGATTATTTCCCACCTTTCGCCTTTCTTCACTTGTGTTTTGTACAACTAGCTGGTATCTGTAGAACAAAATTCTTGTTTAATATGTTAGTTCTAGTTAACTCACTTTCCATTTCCACAGTCAATAAAACTAAGCAATGTTAGTCTATGTGCCGAGTTCTATGTTTAAGGTTTAGCTATTAATCATTAAAATGGAATTAAAATAATCTTCAAGGATCATCTGCAAGCTAAGCTAATGTATCAGACCAAACACAATCAAGATGTCATTTTTATTTAATATTTACTAAAACATTACTTCCTGACTTGACTGTTAACTACATTATATACAAAGATTATACATTCAGCTTTCCTAAGAGAATTGATTAAACATTTACTATGTGGAAAAAGTTCTTATTTTATGATCTTATTATATGATGATGTTTAGTATTATACCACCTTATTTAATAGACAGGAGCCCAAGGTCTGTGTAAGTATTAGACAAAATAGCACCAAAACTTAATGTTTTAAGACATGCACTTTTAGAAAAATGGGCTTACCTGGGTTGACAAAAAGATTGTAAACTTAAAAGCTTTCAAGGGCCTAGATGGTTAGATAAACTTGTGATTGAGAAGACTACTGGACCTTAGTTTATGACTGGAGTATAGGGTGGAGTTACAGTTAATCAGAATACTGCCTTTGGTCATTGAAATTCAAATTATTAACTGTAGACCAAACCAAATGCAATTGAATTATTTTTTTTTTGTGCATGCACACAATTATTATTTTTGAAAAAAAATTTAATTATTGTTAGTTTTAATGAAAATTTAGACTTTGGATTTCCATTCATTCATTGTTGCACTTTTCTCCCTGCCCACTCCTCCCCCACCTACTTCACTCTTCTCTTTGAAAAGTAAAATTCTTTCATTATTATACAATCTCTCCCCCAAGTCCACTCCACTATGCAGCCTTCATTCTGGACTCCTATCATGACAATACCTAATCACATATCCCTTTTAAACAGTTCTCTCCCTCATCTGTTTCAATGCAGTATATATTATTTATCCCATCTTTCTTAGTCTCCACCCAACCCCTATGTCAGTCCCCTTTTACAACAGTGGCATAGTATTTGTCTTTGTGACTGAGATATTTCAACAGCATCATGTCCTCCAGAGTCACCCATTTTGAATACTATTTCATGAGTTCCTTGTTTTATAATGCAGCATGGTATTCTGTTGTGTGAATATACCAGAGCTTCTCTATCCATTCCTTTGTGGATGGGCACTTAGGTTGTTTCCAACTCTCTGCTATTGTGAACAAAGCCATGATCAACATGGGTGTGCATATATCTGCATGGGTGGTGGTTATGATTTCTTTGAGGTTTATTCCCAGTAGTGGAATTGCTGGGTCAAATGGTATATCTACTTGCAACTTTTTGAGAAAGCACCATACTGCATTCCATGGTGGCTGCACCATTTTATACTCCCACCAACTGTGAATAAAGGTTCCAGTTTTTTCACAACCTCACCAGCATTTGTTGCTTGCTGTTCTGTTAAATTTTGCTATTCTTACTGGGGTGAGATGATAATCTCATAGTTGTTTTGGCAATTGAATTATTGCATGTCCTTGTGTGTGTTATAAATTCACAAAGATTTTTTTTTCTCTCTTGTAGCGTGACTGCTGAGTTCAAGTTGCCAATCTCAGCTAATAGCGTGCTTAGTCATTGCACTACCAGGACTTCTTACCTGTAACCTACCAACAGATCTACTTCCTCCCTCACCAATTATTTCCTTAGCTAACATTTATGACAACAGCAAAACATTTATTATCTGATCATTTTTTTTGAATGAACAACACCTGGCAGTAAGGAATGCTGAGGCCCTGAAGGGGTCCCTCACTGGAGGATCCAGTGTTCATGGAGAAAGGAAGCTTGGATTGTATGATATTTCACTGGGAAGGGAGTGGCCCTGGCAGGGACTGGACACTGCTAGGTGGGCCCAGGATGACCACAGGTGACTGAGACTGAGAGAGTAGCAGTCAGGGTCCTGAAGGCCACCCATCACCTGAAAGCACAGTGAATGCAAGGCAGAGAGGGGAGTTAGGGGAGGGCTTGGGCCACTCTAGCTCAGAAAGATTGGGTGGCCCTGGTGGCTGAGCTCCCCTGAGGCAAAGTAGGGTAAGGGGGGCAGTAGTGGCAGGTGACCTCTGCAGGGGCCTGTGAGGGCAAAAAGCCTAGTTGAGGTGCGGGGCACCTGCCTTTTTTGTATTATGGTAACTTTCATGTTGTTCAGCAAGGAGTAGGTACAAAGAAATAGAAAAGTTGGGACTTTCTCAAGGATTGTACTCGAAACCTTAAAGTAAGACTTCTGTTAGCTAATTGAGAACCACTCAATTGAGACAAAAGGAGGGGTGAAGAGCTCAGCTGCTAACTAAAAGTGCCTATCAGCCTTCTGCAAGACAAAGATGCTCCTGTAGACCTATGGCCTTGGAAGCTAGACGGGGCAGCTTTACCTGCCCTGTAGGATTCCTGTGAGTTGGAATAGTTTGGGGCTCAAGAAGATAAGTGGAGCAGCTAGATTCTAAAAAGGTGTGTTTTCTGTTTTGGTTAAGGCTTGGGAGTGGCCTGTTACTAGCCATTGGGTGTGAGATGACTGAATTTGGCATTCTATTTAAAAAAGGCCTTTGGGCCCTCTGGCCTGGTTTCATTATTTTGAGTCAAACATTCTTCTAAGTAGTATAGCCCTAGTCTGTAAGTAATATAGCACTAGTCTGTCAATATCCTGTACAGAGGTAACTCTGGTTGCCCATGATGGGCAACGTTTGATGGAGCTCTCAAACTGAAATAAGCCTGAAAGCAGGAGTGGCATTCACTTCCAAAATAGCTTGCCTCCAGAAACTATGAACTTAGAGAAACGATGAAAGTTTTGTGTTCAGGACTTTCATTCCTAGGGTCACTATGAGTCATCTACGACTAGACAGCACTTAAAAACAACAACAACAAATTGTAACAGAACAGACTACTCTCTTTCTCCCAAGGAGCAGCTGGTGGATTTGGACTGCTGACCTTTTGGTTAGAAGCACATATGCTACACACTGCACTACCCAAGCTCCTTAATTAGCTATTGTACAGTATGTCTAGATTCCTGGGTGGGTTAAAAAAAAAAACACAAACCACACACACAAAACTATAATGGAAACCAGTAAATAAAACCTGCTGTCATGGTTTTGTGTCCCCTAAGAAATATGTGAACTGGGCTGTGCCATGATTCTCATGGTTTGGCAGTTACGCTCCAAGAAGTCACTAGATGTGCTGGATCTGTTGGCTATATAGGGATCAGGATGGGTGGACCCAGAACTGATGACCAGTGAAGAGAGTTCCTCTGGAAACTTTTATCTTACAGGAGATAAAAAAAGAGAAGCAAGCTAGTAGAGAAAAAGAGACCAAAGTACCCCCAGGAAAGAAGATCCAGGGGCAGAGCCTAACCTTTGGACCCAGGGACCCTGTAATGTGAATCTCCTAGAGCCAGGAAAAGATTGATACCAAAACACATACAGATCTCTAAAGAATGTTGGATTTACAGATGTTCAGAGGAGACAGGGACCTTTCTCTCAAATGGCGAGCTGACAGAGAAAGCATTCCCTTATAGCCGGCACCTTGAATTTGGATTAGTTGTGTAGTTTGTAATTAAAAAGTGGGTGGTTCAAATTCACCAGCTGCGAGTAAGATGGGTTCAATAATGTATACTGCACTGAAACAGAGGAGGGAGAAAACTGTTTAAAAGAGATATGTGACTAGGTATTTCTGTCATCACAGGAGTCTAGAGCGATGGCTACATGGTGGAGGGGACCTAGGGGAGGGTTTGTAAAACAATGAAAGAATCTTTTCTTTTACTTTTCCATAATTTTTGACTCATGTACTTAAAACTTGTTAGTTAAATTTGTGTCTTCTAGGTTGCAACACCCCCATGATACATCTTCAAGGATATGAACATGTACGGCTAAGCACAATCAATAACAGTGCATCTAAATTCCAAAATCAATCTCCATAATAGTCTATGTGTTTCCTACTGCCAAAGGGGCCCTTTAGAGTAGTGAGAGAAGATCTTCACCCTGAAACCCACAGTGTCCCTTTTCAGCGGGAAGTAGCTAAGAGAATACGCCATCCCCTTTTCCTTATGAATCAGGGTGAAGTCTCTCTCAGGGAGGAGTGATAGGGAATGGCAAAGGACACACTGACAAAGGAGATTAATCAGAACTGACTTTGACAAGCACTGTGGCAATTGGACAATTAAAACAGACATTCGGATGGCGGGGAAGAAGAACAAACTGGGGAGGAGGGTAGAGAGAATGGTGCAGCAATGAAGGAATGAAAACCCTAAATCCCTGTAAATGTTCATTAAACCTAATAAAATTTAATAATAACAAAAAATCACCAGCTGCTCCCCGTGTGTTGCACTTCTCTGAACTGCAGGAAAGTACTGGGAGATAGAATGAACTACTCAATACTTTCATTAGTCAGTCAAGAGGTAAAGGGAGAGGAACTCGTGGCTGAGTGTCTTCCCGACCTGTTCATCCTCATAGCTTTCACTGAGAAGTTTCTCGTTACATAAGCAGTAAAATATGTTAACTAAGTTCCAAGATTTTTTTTTACTGTTTATTTTCTCATTTGCTGATCTTTTCTGGTCCATAACCACATCAGTATCAGAAGTCAGTGGCAGTAGGAGAACAAAGGTTTCACAGACATCTTTATGTAGGGGGTGGGCAATTTAATCCATGACTAAGGCCATTTAAAAAGTTCCTCAGGGACACACATAAACAAAACCAAACTCATTGCCATTCTCTTGGTTCCAGCTCCCCGTGAGCCTCTGCCGTCTTTCTGAAGCTGTATGACTTTAGGACAGGAGACTGCCTAACTTTACCCACCTCCCTACACACAAACACATCCACGTGTTCACTTGTAAACATTCTCACTTATGGTCAATGTTCTTTTGCTCTGATTACACTTTTTAGATGACTCTCATCAAGCTTCTACCTTGGTCAACTTAACCACTTACGGGGGAAAGACAAAGAATCGACTCCTGTGCAATGTGCTACCTCTGAAAACTCACTGGAGGGTCAGCTATTAGTTGGTTGCCAAGGAATCTGTTTTTGGTATATCTGTTTAACAGCACTTATAGCTAAGATACCAGACAGTGTGTAAAACAAATACATATTTCTTTAAAATTGTGTTTGTGATTTTTCTTTTTTCCTTCTTCAAGGAATTTTAGTGACAAAACATTTTCTGTGTTGTGTTGCTCCCCACAAATCAGTGGTTCTAATCTCCAGTCACTCCACATGAGAAAGTTGGGCAGTGTCCTCTCCTAAAGTCATACAGTCTCAGAAAGGTGACAAAGGTTCAGGTGAGCTGGGACTAACTCAGTGAGTCTGGTTTTATTTATGTGTGTCAATAACGAAGTTTTTAAATGGTCTTTTTCATGGATTAAATTGTGTATCCCCTCTATATGTAATGATGTTATGTGAAAGTTCTGTAATCATCTTCAATAATCTGATAAATCAGTTATAAGAGGATTAAGGGTAAAATAATGGATAACCAAACCCATTGCTGTTAAGTCACTCGGGTTTCTGAGGCTTTAAATCTTTATAGGAGGAAGACTGCTTATTTTTCTCCCAAAAAACAGCCGGTAGAATTAAAATAGCTGATCTTTTAGTTAACAGATACATACTGAGCAATGCCACTAGGGTTCCTGACAAATGAGATGGAACATCCTTAATCCTTTCTTACAGCCCTGATTTGAATTAAGGGGAGTGTCCCTTGAGTGTGGGCTGTAACATCTTTTGTTTAATGGGAGATAAAAAGAGTGAAGAAATAGGGTGAGGACCAGAAGCTTCAATATCAACAGGGGAAAGGGCCTGGAGCTGAGCACATCCCAGTTGTTCCTGGGCTTGGAAATATCTAGCACCAAAAGACACACAGAGAAAACCTTCTTGAGCCTCTCAAACTGAACGACTAAATGTCTACTTGTTGAAGCCATCCACTTATGGCAACTGTTCAGCAGTGCCAGAGAACCAAGATAGACCCTGATCCCAATTCTCCCCTGAAGTCTTGTGGGGTTTTGGCATAACTTCCCATAGCATAGTGACTTTAAGAAGGCAGATCTGTATTGCAGGACTGTATGATTTACAGCCTAATAATATTTTTAGCATATATATAATTTCTAAAAAGATACCTTAAACTAGATTAGTAGTCTTATAAAAATGTTTAAGTTTAGTGGTTTTATAAAAATTTAGCTAATAAATTTATTAGTTATCTAAGGTAGAATTCAATAGATTCAACGTTGTAGCCTGCCCACGCTTCCTTACTCCACCACTATCCCTTCTTACTTTTGCCTACAGCATTCAATACCCGTCTCCCATTGAACAGCCCCTGATGTGATGGCCTAAGTCCCAAGCCATCAGGATGTCTGTGATTCTGATTCTGAACATATCGTGCTGCTGTGAGTCTCTTATGACTTCAATTTAAAGTTGTTAAAGTACAACTGTAATGTACAACTTCCACTCCAGGATTGCATTCTCATGGGTTAATATCGCTTGTCTTCCATCTGAAGCCAGGTGCTGATGCAAATTTTCTTGGCCCAAAGGCCCAAAACTCTTTTTCCAGCAATGCTTCAAGGTGTGCGTGCTGGCCAATGCCTGAGGTTACCTGGGTTAGAATTTGGAGATCTGAAAAGCTCTGCTTCTCTCTCCTCCTCGATTCCCAAAAAAGTCTTTTTCCAGCTCTCACCACTGGGCCAACTGGCAGCATCAGTATGGATGGTGAAGAGATTGAGATAGTTAACAGTTTTAGTTTACTTGTCTCCACAATCAACATTCTTGGTAACAAAAGCCAGGAAATCAGGAGACGAATTGCATTGGAAAAGTTGGCTGTGAGGGACCTCTCAAAAGTACTGAAGAGCAACAATGTCAGGCTGGAGACTAAGGTGCATCTGATCCGGGCTATAGTCTTTGCAATTACATGCTATGCATCAGAAAGTTGGACAGTGAATAGGGTTGATAGAAAGAGAATCGAAGCCTTTGAGTTGTGGTGCTGGAGGAGAATGTTGAATACACCATGGATTGCTAGAAGAACAAACAGGTTTGTCCTGGAGAAGGTGAAGCCGAATGCTCCTTGGAGTCAAGGATTCTGAAGCTTTGTCTGACATACTTTGGGCATGTTGCAAGGAGGTACTGGTCCTTGGAGAGGAACATCATGTTTGGCAGAATGGAGGGGCAGCGAAGGAGAGGAAGACCTTCAATGAGATGGATTGATTCTGTGACTGGAGCGGTGGGAATAAGTGCATTTGAGATGGCTAGGTTGGCACAGGATAGAACAGCATTTAGAGCTCTTATACATAGGGTTGCTATGAGTTGCAAACGACTCTATGGCACATAACAACAACAACAAAAGTAGAATTCCTATAAAGTTCTATGATGTCTTTAGGAATTAAAAGCCATTTGTTAATTATATCTAAAAAGGAATGATTTTTCCGGGAAGTAATAATTATAATGGTTGTAGGATGTATTTGTGGATAACTATCTCAAATCATATGCAAGCCTGTTAATTCTAAATATGTTGTTCTGCTTAAGGATCACTCCTAAATGAAAATAAAGCAACACAGATCTAGTTGAAATCATAAACTTTAGAGATGAACTTACTCTCGCTGAATAGTATCTAATTCAGAGATGAACTTACTCTCGCTGAATAGTATCTAATTCATCCATAGCTTCACTGAGGCCCTCATTAACACCACGCTCAAGCAGATTCTTATGTTTCTCCAAGGACTCAAGTTCATTAGCACATTTTTTGTCCTCTTCCTCATCTTCCTAAAAGGATAAAGCCAGGGTTATGATTTTTATATTCACATTTTATACACTCTAGGTAGATTATTTCCAAAGCATTTCTTCATTAGATTGCATCATTTGTATTCTCAACTGGCTTACTGCTTCATGTGTAATAAAAGACTTAAAATGCTCCTTTGGGAATTCGGGATTATAAACATAAATATGACCTTTTAAGCAGGTCTGTACAGGATTCAGTCAACAGCATAGTCTTAACTACTAGAATTTTTGGTTACTTTGTTTTAAATATTATTTTCTATGAGTATTCATGGAGGACTAATCTAGGTCAAAATATGGATAACTCATATTACTATTACTTTACATTTGTATTAACTATGTAAACTTTTTTTTTTTAGCGTCTATAAAAATTTTATTATCAATATCAAGTGACTCTTTTCTACCCAGTTCATCATACCTAGAAACTTTCTCAACTTCTTCTTCAGTATAAGCCTCAACCTTACGGTGTGTTTTAAATACTGCTGACCAATAAGCTCCCTGTGCATACTCATCCCAGCCTGTCCCACTTTCCACAATAAAGATGCTCATAGTCCCGCTGACTCTGTTGTCCCCTTCTGCATGTCCCTACTGTGTTCTTGCTGGGTGTGTTATGAACACCAAAGACTGAGCACAAGAAATCTTTATGTGTTCCCACACTCTAGAAAATTTTCAGCATCTACTCTTGTGTAAAGTTAAAACACAATCCACAGGGTGAAGTACCACAAATTCACCCATGCTTAAATTTCTCAAAGTCCTTCATTTTAGTGCTTTAGAGAGTAAACTTCAATCCTGTTATGGAAGACACAGGAAAAAAGAAAGACTGTTAGTAAAGTTTTCACATTTTACATGTGGTCATGCTAAATGTTATTATTTTCTTAAAATTTGACAACTGGCTCAAAATAAAAAATAACATCTATAAACGTGGTACAGGCTAAAAGTTTTCAATTTCTGATACTGTGCTGCCATAACTATAAAAATATCAGAATGGTTAAAAATTTTACATAAGCTGTGTAACTGGTGATGAATCTGAGTACTTCCCTAACTCAAAACTCTGACTAGAGGGAGAGGGAATGTGAAATCAATGTTGTTATTCTACCAACTTTCGAGATTTCATATAAATTGTCTTCAGAATTTGGCCAGGATAATCAGTTTGCAATGGCTTTTGATGGGCAATTTAACAGAAAGATAGTTATATTTTAAAATGAAGAGGATATTGCCTCATGCATGTTCAAGTAGAAAATACTTGATGGATTGATAAATAATATGCTATAGTGAAATATACAGGTTCAAATTGTCTTCCGGTCAAACATTCTTCTAGGTGGTATAGCACTGGTCTGTGCGTTGCTGTACAGAGGTAACTCGTGGTTGCTGTGATGCTGAAGCCTGTGACAGTGATGTGCCAATCGTGGTAATGGGCACCCATGGTGGACAGTGTTGGCTGGAGCTTCCCGACTAAATCAAGCCTGGAAGCAGGAGCGGCATCCACTTCCAAAATGGTTTGCCTCTGGAAACTCTATGTACGAACAGTGCTCAGGCTGTTCGTTCATAGGGTCGCTATGAGTCATCTACGACTCGACGGCATTAAACAACAACATCATAGTGAAATAGCCCTAATAGAGAAATAAGTTTTTAAAAGAACATACAAAACATAATGTCTCACATTAGACTTCTGAGATAGAAGCCTACCCCAAAATACAAGTAATAAATTACAGTTCAACATTTCACTTACGAGGTAAGAATACGTGCCTGGTCAATGAGTCCTGACCAAACTGTAGCTCCCTCCTATCAACAGTGCTGAAATTCTTACCTTAACTTTGTGTTGATAAAGGTCATCCAGCTTTTGAACTTCTTCTTTCAGAGTTCTTACATTTCTCCTGTTTTCTGTCACCATTATATTCAACTAGGGGAATAAAACTTCAGCTAAGAAAAGATAACTATATATAAAATTTCTTTAACAATTTACTGAATTTTTATACTGCTTATCAAGCAATGAAACCACGATGTCTTCTTGTCCTTTTAGGAATTTCACCTATTCTTTGCCCAATAACTTAATATTCCTTAAAGAGAAAAGGATTTTTTTTTCTAAAAACCCCTTACGCTTTTTAACATGGAATTTATACTTGTAGTAAAACACTTTTAGAAAAAGTTTAGGGGACCTACTAATAATCATCATTTAAAAGCAAGGCAATAAGGTAAGGAATGCACAAGCTAGGAATCAAAACTGGCGTAATTCTTTTTTTCCCCCCCAAAAATTATTATTTTTTTTTTATTATTTTAATGAAAGTTTACAGAGACTTTTTGATTTCCATTCATTCATTCATTGTTGTTCACTTTCCTCCCTGGCCAGCTCTCCCCTCCCAGTTCACTAAACTGGCTTAATTATTAGTAAAAATAATGTGTGTTCAAATACTAGCAGATATTATATAGGTATTGGGGAAGACCCTCTATGAGATGGATTGATTCGGTGACTGGGGTAATCGGGATGGGTGTGTAAGAGGCGGTGCGGTTGGCGCAGGATAGAGCAGGGTTTAGGGCTGTTGTGCATAGGGTTGCTATGAGTCGGAAATGACTCGATGGCACATAACAACAACAACATGTTAATATACATAATTCTAACATATACAATATTATATTTATATGCTGTTGATTGCTCCCCCACCGGTTGAGTCAACATATATTAGTAACTATAAATTATTTTTTCTCTTTAGTTTTGTAGCCTAAATCAATTAGGTTTTATCTGTTTTAGCTACTTATTTAGCTTTCCAATTAAGTACTCACTCTTTGCTATGTTAAAAAAGAATTTTATTGGATGATGCTTCCTAATGCTTATACTTACATATTCTTCAAAAGAGTGGCAATCACATTTATCTTGTTAAATGTTGACTTTTAAGACATGTTTAAAGCAAAATCAAAGTGGGAAAAAAGGCTCTTCTAAAGTTCACCTTTTGTTGACAAATGTTAATAGTTAAAACTAGTTGATGTCAGTAATTAATAGAGAATGTTCTTCAACCAAACCAAGAGAAAACAGAAAAGAGCAATGGGTAAAGAGCTCACACTTTTTTTTTATAAGAATGATTCCACATATACATGGAATTTAAAGAAATAGGTCTATACTGTGGGAAAAATTGAGTGAGGTTAATGTTATTTGAAAAAACGTATGATTAGTGATCAAACAACTATAGAAAGATATGTGTAGTTTCTCATTCACTAACTTTGAAAACCCCGTAAGTTTTTTTCTCCATTGTACAAGAGTACAGGGGAGGAGGGAATACCACTTGTTGAAGGTCACTAGTAAATGTCTAGTATTCAAAGACAGAGTTCTAATTCCCAGCACTGTTTTCTTTCTTTTTATTTATTTTTTTT